TAGTTACCTTTTTCTGTACATGCACACCCAAATAATGACTAGAAAAATAACTCTTAAAGGTGCTTGATAATTCTCCTTTTTAATTCTTTTTTTTTTCAGTGATATGCCTCCACTCTAACTTTTTAAATTACTACAAATAATATCTCCTCTGTTTGGCAGGGATATTGCTGCTAGAAACGTGCTGGTGTCTGCCACTGACTGTGTGAAATTAGGTGACTTTGGTTTATCTCGATACATGGAAGACAGTACTTACTATAAAGGTGAGCTGACATTCTGAGTCCTTCACACAGGCCACTTAGAAGACAGTTGCTTCTCACAGTAGAGTTTGTTGTCAAAAGGAATTAACCAGATATTCTTGGTCTAGTTGTATAAAAAGGCAAACTATTTAACCGTTTAATGGATGACACTCAATTCCTACATGTATGCTTAAGTGGACGAATAACAAGGTCTGATTAAGTTGTAAAAAAACAGAAAATTCACACATAGGTAGAATTCCCCTTTTTATGACAATCTGATAGTCCTTTCTTCACCATTTTTAGAATATTAACCACATCTGAGGCCTGTTTGAGATAATATTCATATTCATGGCATAATATAGTTAACCTACAATGAGTTCATGGTTATCTATGGATCACTTTTGAGTTTGTGCTGCCATTGCATGCTGCATACTTCAGAAGCCACTGGGCTAGGGAGATGCAGTGCAAAAAACAGTCTCTGAAGCCTGCCTTTTCCCCCTGTTTGGATGGAATAATGATCTGAAGTGGGTGTAGCAGCTGTGATAAGTCCTGCAGTGACTGATGGGTGGAAATACAGAATGAGAATATGGTTTGCATGTAGGGCACCAAACAGGAGCATGTGAAACCTGGTGTATATTATGAAACATATTTCTAATTTCAGTCACATATTTTAAAGCAGCCTTTACCTGTCCCCTTACACTCTGTTTCCTCATTTCATTTGTCTTATATCACTGTGAGCTACATTATCATCATTTTAAGTGCTGAGAGGAGAGGAGGGATACTTTTGACATGATCAGTTCTTGCTGTGCTTTTGGGGTTTGTTGTTGGAGGCTTTGTTGGGAGGTTTGGGGCTTTATATTGGTCTTTGTGGGTTCTTTTTTGTATTTTGGGTTAGGCCAAAGGACCTACCCTTTTTTTCTATGAACCATTCAAAAAACACCTGCTCCCTAGCAGAGATTTTGTGAGTTTCAGATTTGGTGCCAGTACCTTCTTAACTGCAGTATTTTCATTTTGAAATAGGGATTAATTTGAAACTTGAAGGACCTCAGTCTGAATATTTAGGGACAGAGAGGACTGACCATCAAAACTGGTCAGACAGTGCAGAAATCTCTTGTATTAAGTTTGATAGTGGCAGTGCTTCTCCAGCGGTGGGTTTTGCCTATAAATTATTTCACTGAGAACAAAACTGATGTTTGAGCTCAGCAGTAGGAATAACAGCCTGCCTTGCCTTGCCTTGCCTTCCCTGTAGCTTCCAAAGGAAAACTGCCTATCAAATGGATGGCTCCAGAGTCAATCAACTTCCGACGGTTTACCTCAGCTAGCGACGTGTGGATGTTTGGTAAGTGGACACTGAACGGTGGGGTTGCTTCACTGGCCTCCTGGAGGAGTTCAGTATTTCATTTTAACTACTACAAATGAATAAGTTCCATATATTTGGCACTATTTTTACTGCACTTTTTGAAAATCCAGTTTCTTCCAGGACATTTTCCATCTCTGTATTCTTCTTTCTTTTTTTTTGGACTTATTAAGCCTAAAGTTTCACTTGCCTTTTTGCCTCTAGTCAGAAGCTGACAGAAGTGAAGGTACCAGGAAATTAGGTCATAGTCGTAACAGAGATTATTTTTTTTTACTGTTGTTTTTCTTTTTGTTATACTGTTCTTACTTGCTGTTTCTGTTCCATATTTTCACTTTTCTTATATGGTGGTATGCCTCCTTCCTTGCTTAATACATAGATCAGCCTGTGTCCTGTTTCCAGATCTTTAATGCCAGATTCCCACTTAATTTGTCTTTCATTGCTGCTGCAAACTTAGAAAATGTGACCAGAATGAGTAAAAATATGGGTATATGGGAATACCCTGAAGCCTTTAATTTTTTTTTTTCTTAAACATGCAAGTTTTATATGAATCTGATCACGTGTGCTCAAACTGGTCCAGACTGCTGTACAGTCAGATCAAAGATAGGCTGGGTAAAGGAACAAAGGTGATGAAACTTGAAATAAAAGCAGGACAGTCAATTAAGAGTTAATCCTCTTTACAAAATAAAATTTGTATCTTTTTAACTGAAGGGTATGTGAATTTTAGCAGGTTTATAATAGTGTGAAGAAAGCTCTAGTATAGTCAGACTTAGGAAAATTAAGTCTATGGAAGTTTCTGGCCAATCCTAGGCCAACAGACCATTCCCTTTGTGATTTTAACATAGTTTCAACAGAAACTGTTTTATTACATAGTTTCAGCACAAAAAAGTGGGATCAATGCCAGCATTAAAACACCTTCAAAGTGGAACTGCACTCCACGTGTCGAGACAAGCCTGTTGGTACTAGTGGAAGGGCAGAGCAAACACAGATCATTCTGCCTCATAGAAGAGTAGATTTGAATATGAGGAACCCTTCTGATTTACGATAGGTGAAAGGGAAGCAAGGCTGCTGTGAGCCAGCTCTGGCTCATGCTTCCTCAGAAATAGCTGGGGTTGATACTGTGTGTGTGACCCTACTGCACATCACTCCTCTCTGCTGCCTGCTGGTAAGTCACAACCGATTCCCTAGCTCTGTGTTTCTGGAGAAATGACATTTTTTGGCTGTACAAAATCAGGGCTTGTTTCTTTTATTGTTTTCTCACACTGGGGAAAACTGTCGTGTGTGTGTTTCTCAGGTGTGTGTATGTGGGAGATCCTAATGCACGGGGTGAAGCCCTTCCAGGGGGTGAAGAACAATGATGTGATTGGGCGGATTGAGAACGGTGAGCGGCTCCCAATGCCTCCCAACTGCCCTCCCACCCTCTACAGCCTTATGACCAAGTGCTGGGCCTACGACCCCAGCAGGCGACCCAGGTTTACTGAACTTAAAGCACAACTCAGGTAGGGTTTTGTTTCTGAAAGGTCATTTCCTTGTTCAGAAATATTTTTTTTTTCCTCTGTCTTCTGTTACAGTATTTTTCTTTCTGTGGAAAATGCAAGATCCAGGGTATTAACTTTTCTCTTCAGACAGCCAAGTTGTTGCCACTCTTTTGGAAATCTGGACCTTATCTGTTGGAGAAAATTACACTAGGCAATAAATTCAAATAACTGGAAATATGAATCACCTTCTTTCTCTCCCAAGAAAAACTCCAGATTTGACTAGTAATTTGTTTGTAATTTCAGTCCTTGGGGAGAGGAGTAGAAGGAATTTAGAGTGTTTAACTAGTCAAACATTCAGCTGACAATTTTGGGCTGGAAATGTATCCTGTATTAAATAAATGAGCTATCAGGTGAATGCTGTTGAATGTTTTTTTCATAACAACTGTAGCACACTAGTTGCCCTGTGGCAGCTGTGTCTATGCAGTTGTGGAGCCTGCAATAAATGCAGCGTCATTAACTACAAATTTTGTGCCCTTTTAAAACCAGGATGTAGTCTATTTTGCATTTATCTTGGAGTAAATGTGAGCACGTGCTTTTGAGACCAATCTAAATTCACACCTTAGTCTATTCTGCAATAATTTATTCCAATGTCCGTATCTTCATTTCACTTACTACAAAATGGGAGTGATATTTTAGCTTTAAAACATCACTGAGATATTGTACAGACACATACAGGATTTCTGACCACCCTTGGGATCTTAGGAGTGTTCAGTATCTATTTTGCCTAAGTCAATATAAGCTTCAAACAACATGTAGGCATTGTAAAGTGTAAATCCACTCTTGGGTTTGTTGTAATTCATTGCCAAATTCCTGAGTTTTACCTTAGATCTTCTTTCAAAGTAGTACCTTGTGGCGTGTTCTGTTTTCATAATGTTATTATGTGCTGTCGCTGCATGTTTGTGGTACAAGATAATTCATAGGTGGTTGAAATAAGGGACAGGTTTAATATGTGTGGGGAACTTAGCTGCCTTTAAGTTTTTTTCTATTTCTTAACATTTTGTAAGTTTCCACCATCAGTTATTCTGGGAGCTCCAGTGTAGGCTAATAATTTACACAGCTTGAGGAAGATGTAGCCCTTCTCACAAAAGAACTCACCATCCTATTGACTGTGGAGTTAACCACCAAGGAAGGAATGGTAGAGCTGGGTAGGAATTGCAAGGAAAAGATAGGGCACAGTTGTATGATTTAGGTAATAGGTGGAAAATTGGCAATTCACTTGCTTTTTCGGGGTTTTTTTGCCTCTGGAAGAGTCAGGTACTTTTAAATTTTCAGTCAGATTGTACTGATAATTTACAGCTGACTGGCATGGAAGAGAATAAAGCCCTAAAAATATGTGACTAGGAAAATGACCATGGTGTGTTAACTCGGGCAGGGAGACTCACCAGTAAATCCAGAGTAACTGTATTGGGGAGTGAAACAAATGTAGGCTGTACTCAGAGACAGAGTGATGGCAGCAGCACTTAGAACAGCATAAGTCTGGAGGGGCAGAGGGGAAAAAGGTGAAATGTGGAATGATATCACCAGATAAGCAGGATGGATCCGTGCCCAAGAGCCTGGCTTCCCTCAGAAACACCCAGCCAAAGGGTGAGAAGCAACACTCAGGACATGCAACAAGGCAAATTCTCGTTGGTTGCGGATCAGATTGTTTCCCAGTGTGCGTGGGTAAGCTCTGAAACATATCACCCACAAAGACTCTAGAATTTCCATGCTGGGAGACTTTGAAACCTTGACTGGAAAAGGCTTCAATCAACCTGGCTTCACCACGCATGAATCCCAGCTTTACCAGAAGATTGGGCTTGAGACCTCCAAGAGTCCCTTCCAACCTAAACAATTCTCTAGTTCTAGGCGAAAAATGCATTGAAGGGGAGTGGGGCTTTGCTCCTCTACTCATACTGGGAGATATGAAGCTTTGTTTACAGGGCAGCCTCTCTCCTAGGAGCACAGCAACCTTAAAATCCAGTTTTTATTCTGCTCTCACCAAAGCAGAGTTTTCTGCCACTCCAAACTGGTAATCTTTATCTCCTGGAAGTCAGGCAGCACAGTTGTCCTTAGGGCTTCTTTGCACTGCTCTCAGAGCCTCTCGTTGGAAAGGTTCCCAATTCCCTTACGATGAGGCAATCTCAGGCAGCTAGGAAAGATTGTGTTTCAAAACTCAAATTCCCATGAACTTGCAAAAACAAGCCATTTCCCTGGTGGCTTTTTCTGTGTGGTGTTGCTGCTGCTCATTCTGGGTCCTGTCCAGGACAGTCTTTCAAGCTTGAGAGCAGGCTCGTTGTCTGCTTGAAGCCAAAGATACAGCTCTGCAGTGTATCTCTGTTCTAATGAGAAAAAGTCTGTGGCTTTGGGAAAAAACTTCTGTTCTGCATCTGAAATAGCACTGATGGGAGCATAAGCATTTCATGTCTTCTCCATTTGCTGCTTTTCCCATTTCACAGTAACATCTGCTTTGCACAAACTGTGTTTGCAGCTGATTGTGCAAGGCAAAGATGCCGATTTCTGTAGAATTGATAGTGTTGTTAGGGTGGTAATAAGGCCTGATATTTTATAACATTTGATCTGCCCAAAGTCCACAGGAATGTGCTGGTCTTCTTAGCAAATACAGAAACAAAGGGGTGGATTGTGGATTTCCAAATTTAATTCCTCCTCACATCCCAGGTCCCTTTTTCACTGGGGGGATGTCTATAAACGTGGGAATGTCAGGACAGTAAGGTGCTACTCAGCTGCACGGCTGGTTCTGTCACTGACTGGGCCAGGAGTAGAATCTGGGATATTTTAATTAGGAAGCACATGCTGCCCTGCTGATTTTTGGATCAAAGAGATTTTTAGTCTTAATGCTCCATAGTGAATAACATAAAAGGCCCTTTGCAAAGTGTGCAACATACCCAAATCATGCAATACCTCTTCTGCAGGATTTCTCCTCAGAATGGCTCCTGGCCACTTAGTAGAAGCATACACTTACTGTACTGTATTTGTACACTCCCTGTAACCATGGACAATCAGCTATATGCGTGTGTTATTGAATTTATTCTTTGCTATATTCACTGTGCTGCAGGTCTGTATTGCTGAGGTAGCCCCACCACACTCACAGGTTTTCTTTGAAGTCAACTCTGGGGCTTGTGCTTGGGAGTTGTGGTTCCCTGCGTGTCCTGTTGGTTGGTGATTCTGTCAAAACTGGGGTTGTTTGCATTGGAGTTTAACTCTGATTTTCATTTTGAGCTTTCAGATGAATGCAATTGCGTGACATGTTCACTGCAGCATGGAATGAATTTTGTTTAAAGCACTCTTTCTCCTGAAAACAGCAATATAAGCAGCAGTTGTACCACTGCTGTGATAAGAGTTTGGGCTCTGGCCCTCTGTTGGTCACTGATGAAGCAGCACAGGTTTTAACAACACTAACATCCTAGCACTGCAGGTCACATTAAATATAACTCAAAAAAGCTTTATTTTTATTTAATTTAAAAAAAAAAAAAGAAAGAAAAAACTGATGCATGCTTTTAAAGTCTGTTGTTGTGACATCAGTGAGATCATTAGCTGATGAAAACTAGACTTGAGCCTTTTTCTGATTGCATTTGCTGTAGGTACTGAAATGTTGCTCATAAATGAAAACCCAAAACTGATAAGAATAAGGACAGTTTGAGTCATGTCCTTCTGTGGCAACTTGGCAAAAAATTATTTTAATGCAAAACTGAAGTACATGGTGGAGGCTGCAAAATGCTTCATTAGCCTTTTGCTCCTTGAGAGTCACCATTAGCAATGATCTGTAATCCATGTGAAAGGGCTTGGAAATTAGGGTGGTATGTGAAAATATGTTTCTAAAAAAATAAATATGTGAAAAAATGCATCCAGCTTTTATTTCTCATGGCCAGACACATCAGAGTGGAAAAAAAAGAAGCTGCTTGCTCAGGGTCAGAATTTATTGTAGGTTGCAACATCACCATAGCAGCAAACACTGGTATTGCTGTGTCTTTTGAAATGTAAGTTTCAGATAATTCTATACTGAAGCTCCCAGTAAGTTTCCTTTTCAAGTCATGAGCCAGTTTCTTTGTAAATAAGTTTATCAATTAGGCAAGCATTTAATAGTTGAGATTTTTCATCAGACTTAACATAGCCAAGAAGGTGGGTTGTTTGTCTGTAGTACCTCAAGATCTGCTAGGTAAATCATATGAATAGCAATACTTCTCTGCTTGCTCCTCTTTGCTGCTAAAAATAGGTGCAGTTTGGGAAAATATGCCTAGATCTGACTTCCCTGACCTTCTGCAAATTCTAATAAACTCTTCAGAGTACTTGAGCAGCTGCACTGAGAAAAGGTCAAAAATATTTCTTGGCATGCTTTTACTCCATCTATGGACTGGTCTTCCCTTTGAAAAAACAAAGATGTTTCTGTGAGCCATTTATATTCTTCTTGAGTTTGGGAGTAATGCTTCTCTGAGGCATTTCTATTTTATATTCTTGTCAGTGGTACTCAAGGGCACCCAAGTACAAACCCTGCTGCAGCTCATCGGCCTTTGACCAGGCTGTTCTCTGGGTTGTTGGGGAAAGGATCTCCTGATGAAACAGAAAGAGCAGAGAGGGATGAATTAAAGTTGCAAGGCAAAAAGCTGAGCCGATGTTATTAAAAACAAGTCATCTCAGTAGAAACTGGTCCTTTCCAGTGCTGTGACTGAAGTTAATGGGTTTGTGTTGGATCCTGGGGCACCAGCAGTGAAATGGCTGTAATAGCAAGGCAGATAGGTGTTGGTGTTTCATTCCTTTTCATGGGGAAAAAAGGTAACAAATTTGTTGTAACAGATTTTGTGCTGTAGCAAATTGCACTTGTGGCCCCAAATTGTCAATAAGCCATCTCTAATTTTGGTCGGCTCCTTTTAGCCAACTCCTGTTCCATTTTTGGCTCAGATTAACAGTCTGTTATCAACAGATTAACAGCTGCTGTATCAACAGCTTTGTTAAAAAGCTGTATTTTAGTCCTGCAATGTCTGCGTGGAAGTTTTATGTGTATTGTTGTAGGGTTTTTAAATCTTGAGGTATTTCCTGAAACGTGGTGACCGTGGTTCGTGGCTGTGGGTGCATGTGGGCTGATGTCTCATGCTGCATAGAAGTGCATGCTGAATAGCTGAAGTGTGACCTAGCTTAAAAAGAGTGGTTTTTTTCCTAGTTCTGAATGGGTTTAAGTAGGAAATAATTGCATTTCCCTTATTCTGAAGGAAGAGAGAGGTAAAGCAGATTTTTCTCCGTTCAGTGCCCTCCCTTGGGCTGTAGCTGTGTTTCCATGGCAGTTACATCAGGATGACTTTTGTAACTTGTCTGATTTTGGTTTTGTTCCACATTCCTGTGCTACTTCAGCAATAATGGATTGAAATTGCAGCAATACTTAGAAACTTGCTTTAGCTGCAGCGAGATGAGATGACTTCTCTGCTTCTTAGAAGTGGCATAGATTTTGGTTTTGGCTGAGTAAGGAAAAGCAGAGTTCTCATCTTCAACCAAGCAGGAATTTGCTCTTGAAATAAGCAGTAAAGTTCCAAGATTAGAATAGATGGCTCTAGCTGATCTCATCCCCTGCATGAGTAATTCTGGGTGGTTATTCAGCAGACTGAGTAAGAGATTAGAAACTCAGAACCTAGCTTTGTTTCTGGCAACTCTTGAGTGATAAAGAAGCTGGAATAGTTCCTTTACAGGATTATCTTTACACTGGGGATTGTGATATGTAAATGATCTGCCCTGCTCACGTCTCCAGACTATCCATGTAGCATGCAGCTTCAGTGAATTTGCAGCTCCCTGTTTCAAAGCTTCATTCTGAGTATTTTTTCAAATGGCAAATATCCAACATTAATAATCCACATAGCAGAACGGGGAGGAGGCTGCTGTGGGGGCAGCAGTATCACATTGGAACTTCAAACAGTCTTTTTAATAGTCAGAACAGTGGTAAGTAGCAAACGAGTTTTACTGCTGTCTTGTACTTTGTTAAAAATGCAGCCTTTTGACCTGAATGTTTAGGAGCCGGGTGAATTCTGTCACATATTTCTGTTTTGCTAAATTAGTTTGCTTGAATGCGTTCGTTAGTCTAAAATGTAAGAGCTGAAGGCATAGCATTTAAAATGGTTTTTGACTGCTTTGTTTAAAAAAGAAAAAAATCCCAGTGATCTGAAGCACTGTTTGGTTTCAGTAAAGAATGTTTTCATTCTTTGTTTTGAGCCTTTGCAGCAGTTCAGTAGGGTATTTTCTTACGAAAAATAAATTTTCATGCAAGTAAGTGTTTGATTTATCGTCTCTGAGGATTTCTCTCTGTAATTACACATCAAAAGAACTGTTAACAGGCAAAAAAATTTTTTTTGTGCAGGATCAACCACAGCTTTCTAAAAACTCAGTGCTGCTTCTGTTGTTAAAAGCATACTGGTAATCTTACAGAAGTATTTCTTCCTGATGACCAGTTTTCAGAAATCTAACTGAGATAAATAAGAGAAGTCTGTGTTTCAGGAGGTTTGTGAGACATTGAACTGGAGCTTTACTTAAACAGCATATGTTTTCCCTAGTACAATACTGGAGGAAGAGAAGCTGCAGCAAGAAGAACGAATGAGAATGGAATCCAGGCGACAAGTCACAGTGTCCTGGGACTCAGGAGGATCAGATGAAGCTCCTCCCAAGGTAGCTAAGACTGCAAATTACGTGTGTTTATAAAAAAAAAAAAAACATGTTTTTTATTCCATTTATTTTTTTCAAAGCCTCCTTTGACAGGTTTGTTCAAACAACAGCGTTCTGATGAATTTTGTCATCATTTGCTGGTACTTGCCTGCAATGACCCAGCTCTGCTGGGAACTGTTATTAGAACTGATCCATGCTATAGCACTGCACTAATGATTTTCTGTGTCTTGTTTAAATTAAAGAAGACTACCATAGCTGCCACAAAACTTTCCTGGTCATTCTTCTTCTTTCTTGTAGCACTCCTGTGAAATATTAGCTAGTGAGTTCTGGGACCAGCATGAACTTTATAACACATCAGTGGGAGGATAGAAATGAACTATTTAATTTCTATCTAAAATAAGTACATTTTCCTTACTCTGGATGGGAAATTAGGCATTTGCTTCCAGATATCTTGCATGTTTTAGTTTACACTCCATTTTGTTTCATTACACGTCAGTCCTGTTTGGACGTTGGTGCTGTGTTCTGCAGCTGTGGTACTCTAACCTCACCAGTTGTTGAGCACTCTTTTCTCTCAATACCTTGTCTGCTTCTCATTGGAGTTATTCTGCACTTTGAAGGGTCGAGCCTGTATTTTGAAGAATTTAATTTTGTGCATCCACTTCTTACCTGCATCCTGATGAGTTTGTGATGAACTCCCATGGCTGCACAGGCAAGCTGGGGTGCTGATGATCAGCAGGACTTGTGTGGCACCTTCTGCTGCTCACATCTCCCAGCAGCCATAGGAAGGCAACTTAGATTTATTTTGTTTTGTTTCCCCATTGTCAGGTCATTGTCTGATAGATTTCCCAGCTTGGTTCTGCGTTTGGATAGTTTTATGGCACACAAGAAATATGGGCAGTGGAGTTGTTGCTTTCATTTAAACAGCAAACATCCTGTTAACAGATTTAGTCATCTGAGATGAATCAGCAGGATTTGGTGTATTTATAAACAATGTTCTGAGTTACAGAAGCAGATCAAATGCATACATTGGAATAATATGCTATTGAATTGCTACAGCCTTGATGAATTTAGTCTTGAAGCTTTGGGGCTAATTCAAATAGAATTAAGTACCTTTTCCTAATATATTATAATGAAATTATAATATATTATAATTTCAGTATTAGAAACTATCATCCTTAGGGCTTTGTGTGTGATAGACAAACTGAAACACTTGATAACAGATGTGTTAAGACTGAAGTTGATTCTACCACTGCAGTATCTTTTTTTGAGGGAGTTATGTCCTCGTGGTATATGCAGTGCAGTTGCTGGTGAGGTTTTTTATAGAGTATTTTTGTGTGAAATACAGATGTGCACACTAATGATATGGGAACAAGCTGAATTTTGTAGATGGGAGATTTTAAGTAGTTCTTAAGTTATTACCTGTTTTTCTAATTACGGCAACTGATTTTTTTTTTCCTTCTAGGAATTTACTATAGAAGAGGTCTTAAATTCTGTTTTATTTACAGCCTTAAACTCCAACACGTTCTCAAATAATTCAGATATCACAGTTTGTACTATGAGATTAATTGTGTCATACCATGATTTCTGTTAGAAACCTGAGACAGGAAATATCCAGAAAGATACCAATATTTCTCATAAAGTGAGGATAAAATTCTGCAATATCAAAGGGATGTGGTGATCACTGTTAACTGCTAGAAGGACTGAAAGAGCCCATTTGCAGAGTGATGAGGTTTGGGTGGTTTTTCCCCCTCTTTGGTTGTTTTTTCTCCTTTTAAAACACCCAGCAGCATTGTTCCTCACAAAACCAACCAAACAAACAAAAAAACCCCAACTAACCAAAAAAAAAAAAAAAACCTTTGGAAGTGCATATCATACAGAATAACAGAACACTATTGTTTGGAAGATAAAAGTATGTTGTTTTCAGCAGTATTTTCCAACATGACTTCTTTCAGTACTGTGATATTTCTATAGGTGTTCTGGCAAAAGGATGATCTGTTCAAGGTGTGCAGAAACCCAGGCTCCTCTTCAGGCAGTTTTTTCTAATAGTGCTGTCCAAATTTCTGGTGACTTTTCTCATGTATTCCTCTGCTTATGCATCTTGTTTGTTTATGTGTGAAGTATTGCCCTTCTCCTGAAGGGGTAAAGCAAGATAGTCACATAGACTCCTGATAGCTGTTCCTCAGCTGTCCTTTCTGATGGGAGCTAGTCCTGTCCTGTCCTTGTTTGGCTGGGAATGGGTTGCAAGGCAAAGCATGGACAGCAAAGCGACCATGGAGTTCAGACTATGATCAAAAGGATCTTCCATGTTAAGACAATTAGCTATGTAGAAGTTATTTATCAGAACTAACTTTAGTCCTCAGAATAACACATGGACATATTCGTGCTAAACAAACCAGTTTGATGTGTGTTCTGGCTGAAGCAAAATAAATTACTTCTGGGAACAGTCATGGAAGCAACAAATTAGTAGCAAAGCTTCATGTACTGCAGGTCATCAACTTAGAAATCAATGCTGTATTTGCACCTGGAAACTTGATTTAAGAGTTCTATTCTTAGCTGGTGTCCTCTAGAGTTAACTAGGACAGAGCAGGTCATTGAGTGCAAGCAGTTAAATATGCACAAAGAATTCACAGAGCAAGCATTATTTATTGACATATGTAGCAATCAATTCAGCTGCTTCCATTTCCAAGCAAAACTGGAGGAAAACTTCATCTTAGTTGTTTAAAATTAGGTTAATCATTTTAGAATATTTTATTTCAGAGGGGTTTTTTTAAGCTTGCTTTTGTGATGCATCACCTGTAAATGTCTGTCTCACCAAAGAGTGATTTTATGCTGCTAGTTTTCTGTTTCTTAAAGAGACTAAAAATCCCTTTATGTTTACAGCCCAGTAGGCCTGGTTACCCCAGTCCGAGATCCAGTGAAGGGTTTTATCCAAGTCCACAGCACATGGTACAGCCCAACCATTACCAGGTATTACATTTAACACTTTGCATGCATTCTTTCAGATGTGGGGTTTATAACTCGGTTGCTGCCGGAGGGATTAATTCGCTTCTTGTGTGATTTAGTTTCATTTAATTCTGTGAAATGGCTTTTGGTTTACATCAGAACAAACTCCAGACTGAGCACAGTAGGCTTACTCCAGATGAGAAGTATTTTCGTATCCACTGTGGAGCTCAAATTCCTACAAGTACAATGAAGCACATCAGACACTTTCATACGTATTGAAAGAATGTGGTGTTCATGTTAACATCTCTGCTAAGCTATGAAATTAATTCCTTTATAAAATGCCATTAACTGGTGGACTTTCCATGGGCTTATTGGTACTCTGCTCCCTGATGTTCCTCTGAAACATTTTTCTTTTCTGTTGGCTGATAACAACCTTTAGATCTACCACATCATACACTTGCAGGTTTTGCTTTTCTTCCTAACACCACTGAAAAATGTTAAAACAAAAGTTTGTCATGAAAGTACTTCAGGCATTCGTGGGTTGGTTCAGAGCTGCAGCCATACACAGCAGCCTCCACTAAGATGTTTTTTTCCATGGAGAGGGGGAGGTTTTCATTGTTTTAATGAGTACTTCAGACTCACTAAAACTACTTTGATTTTCCTGTGGAGAAGTTCTCAAGCCATGCAGTTAAGCACACTAATTACAGGCTGTCACTCAAGGCTTAAGCTTGTTGTATAACCTAGGGGGTCCATTTTTATGTGGCTCTGTAGGGTGATGTTTTCAGGCTCCTTTTAACATGAATACAAGTTCTGCATTTTTTAGCTCTTACAAATGTATCAATATATCAATAACTTCAATTTTGTTCATGGGAGGACTTTGATCATCTTCACTGCAGAGGTTAAAATATACTCTCTAATGCTGCTGTTTTGATAAGCATTCTCAAATAGTTATAGTTAGCCTCAAAAGTTGAGTTCTATTTCTACATATTCATATATCATTACAGTTGTCCTCAAGTAGTTATTCTTATGATAGACATCCTCAAAGACTTAAAAAAGAGGATTTGTGTCATATTTCGGCATAGCTTCCTCCTTTTAATGTTGCTTCCTCTCCTCCCTCTGTGCATGCTTGAATAGAGTTGTTTCTGCACTGTCATATTTGCACCCTTGGTGGAGGGGAGCTTTTAATTATGCAGAAGCTTAGGTCTTATTAGTATAACTGTTCTTTTCTTCTTTGTTTTTTTAAACCCCAAAGGTGTCTGGCTACCCAGGTTCTCATGGGATACCAGCCATGGCAGGCAGCATTTATCCTGGGCAGGCTTCTCTCTTGGATCAGTCAGATTCCTGGAATCATCGGCCTCAGGAAATATCAGTGTGGCAACCAAACATGGAGGTATCATGACCTGACAGAGTTATATTGTTGCACTCTGTGCAGTAAATACACTTTTTTATTATTAGGTGCATCTGGAGATTACTGTAGGAAAATGAAGTTTTTCTCTGGTGTTTTTTAATTGCTGCAGTGGGGTGAGAGTTGACTGAATTCAGTTCTTTTTGAAACAAACCTTCCTACATGAGGTTGGGCATAAAGTGTACTCTTCACACAAATTCTTGATGAGGGTATTACTCTTAACAGAGTGACAGTAAATATTTTACATTTGTGAGAAGAAGGTCATTCTGAAACTTTTTGCTGCTACTAGAGATGGGAACAGTCATGTAGACATATGTGATATCATTACTGTTTAAAAATACCTCTTGTGGGAGATACCCAGCATAGCTAAGGTGTCTGAGGCCTCTCTAACTCACCCAGAACAGAAAATGAAATGTTCTGCAAAGCTGTTTTTGAGCATTCCTGTGAGGTGCTTCTCAGCCCGTCATGATTGCACAGAGCTGCTGCAAGTGCCATCAAATTAATTCCCCCTTTTAACCTTCTGTCATTTTTTTTCTGTTCTCCTTCGGTATTTTACACTTTTTACATTCCATTTTATCCTTCCACAAAGGTTCACCTTATGCAGCTTCTGTCTTAAATATGTTTCCTCTCTAACCAATGCTTTCTTCCCTGTGCCTCTGATAAACACCTGAGTGGTAGCTGAGAACACTGGAAACAATTTAGTCTGTGTCATGCCTGAATAAAGTGCTGGTGGAAGCATGTGGGTGCTTTGCGTGAGTTCATAATAAGGAGTTACAGCCAAAGTTTTCACAAAAGCTTGGGAAGTTGGTTACCTAAAAACAATCTCAGTGAAGTTACCAAACTCCCCTTGGCTTTTTTAGAAATACTAGTTTATACTCTAGTTGCTAATCATTTCCAGACAGCAGTGGGATATGGTATATGGGGTATTGTAGGCTTAAGACGTGCATAAAAACTTGTTCACATTCCATTAAAAACGTTTTTGTGATGTGCTTTGCAAGTGTCCGCTGAAACTGAAAAGCATGTTTGTTTTGGGTAAAAATGTATTTTGCAGCTTTTTAATAACTGGCCAGTTACATTATTGCTCAAGACCAAGCAAACGAAATTGATAAATCTGGTGTTGTTGTCCAAGTTAAATGAAGTGCAAGATATGAAGTTATCATGTTGCTGAAAAACAAACCAGAATTTTTCAGATCTTTTTGGTTCCAGTAACTAGGAGCAAGGCAGATAAATGTTTGTAGTTGAAAAGAGTTTCTTCTAATGATCTGCTTCAGTTTATGAGGAGTTGAAGGAACTCATCTTGACTGCTGTTGTGTATTTGAACTTATAAAATTCTGTTCTTTTGCAATGTGTAACTTCTTGCAGCTGTTTATAGAAATGTTAAGGTGTTGTGAGACTGAATAAACTTTTGTTTTGCAGGATTCAGGCACTTTGGACATAAGAGGAATGGGGCAGGTTCTACCCACACATCTCATGGAGGAGAGGTTGATACGACAGCAACAGGAGATGGAGGAAGACCAGCGCTGGCTGGAAAAGGAGGAACGGTTCCTGGTGAGACTTTGTTCCATAGTGCTTCCTAATTAGGTCTGATTTTTCTTCTTCTATTGCAGCTTCCTAAAACTGGTCACTTCTGTGAAATGAGTGTGTTTACTGAACACAGGAGTCAATAACAAAATGTAGGTTTGGAAACGGTTTTCAAATTAAGTGAAGTTTTGTGAATGGTAATTTATCCAGTTGAGTATTTATGCCTGGGAAGTTGTGGGTATGATTCAGTGCCAACGTGGAGATTGGCCATTTGTTCTTAAGGAGATAGATCTGTGTGTATTCCACCCTAAAAAAGGGATCAGCCATCTAAGAACCTTGACTGTAGTAAGGGTGTGAGCAGTCTTGCACTGGTGGAATAATTTAAGAGTTCCTTGAGCTGGGGAAGAAGCTCTGAACACCAGAAGGAAGAGGAAGAAGAAATGCATTGGTTATGGGATTTTCTGATGCTGTTTCTGTGCTGTTCCATGTTGTCTTGTTGTCAGTGCCACTGGTGTGTGTTTTTTAGTTCAGCACTGGCTTCCCAGTTGTCAAAATTCAAGTTCTGTGTTAAAATTCTGCTAGTCAAGGCTGATGGCTACAGATGCAGCAGAAGTTGGTAGCAGTCTGCTGCTCTGTTGGCTCGTGCTGGGGAGCCTACGGGTGCATCAGCTCCACTTGACAGGTAGATAATTTGCAGTGGTGTGGTATGGGTTGTGACAAACATCAGTGGCATGTTTGGTTTTAAGAAGTGTACTTGAAGGAATGTTTGGGGTGGGAAGCTTTTGATGTTGTACCTAGTTACAAAACATGCTTGTATAAATTCAGGTGCTGTAGGTTTGTTACAGGAGGCAAGTTTGAACAAATAAATGGTATTTAAAGCAAATGCTAATAAAGGCCCACAGTTTCTGTAAGAGTTCTCTACACTTGTCTAGAGCTGGTCTCCAAGAAACTCTTAGCTGTACAGATGAATTACTTTTATTTTAGACACCAAAGTCTCTGATTGTGGTTGTCTCACAGAACTTGAAACAGTTTTTTAGGGATCTTGAAGCCAGTACATCGAGTTCCTTGAAAATAAGAATTCATGTTTTAATGTACAGGAAGCCAGTGGGTGGGAATGGAGAGCAGATCTTGTACACAGATGATATTAGTGAGACTTTATTCCTTGCCAGTTGAACTGTCTTAGTCTCTCCAGGGTTCAGTTATGTGTGGTATTCAGAACTGTTCAGGACAGCTGATGGCTGTGAAGACAAACAAGGTAGGATGAATCTCTGCTAGCTCTTGAGAGCTACTGGTAGATGCCCTCACATCCAGTAAACTTTATAGACCAGCTCCAGATTGTGCAAGAGTTAAGATGTGACTTTTGATGAAGAGATGCTGAAGCTTGGTTTTGGCTGATTTCCTTGTAAGTGCATTTGGGAATTTGTGGCTTGCCATTGGATGACTGTAAAGAAACCACTGTACCCAGATTGCTTTGTCCATTTTATTGCAAGCTGGGGAAAGGAAAATTTCTTCCCTAATTTAGGCATTAGCTTTTCCAGTCTTGAGTGGCACAAGTTGCTTGTGACTTTCACAGGACCAGGAGGTCAAACTGATCCCATTGTCTGTTAAAACTTTAAAGATGGTCAAGAACTTTCTGAGGAATTAAGCAGTTTACTGAGATTGAGGCATTGTGACTTCAGGTGGCTGTAGATTGTGTGGGAACTTTCTGCAGAAAACTTTCTGAACGTTCTGGCTTTTTCTGCAGAGTAGATCATAATTATTTATAGTGTTTGTTAATTCTGTTTTGATTCAGTCTCTGAGCTATTAGGATGTTTACTGTGCCCCAAATTGCTGGTTGAGGAGGGACTTGCTGATTTTCCTTTTGATCTGTAATACAATCTTTAGCATATGTTTGGAAAAAACAATTACATGTTTTCATTATGTGTTTTTACTATGAGGAGACACCACCTCTATTGCCACCCCTTACACAAAGAAGGTCTAGCACTGAGGAACTTGAGAAGTTATAAAGCTCTTCATCTTTGCCAGAGCTGGATTTGGTTGATGTAGACCCTTAGAGAGTTGAAAAGGCAAAAAACAGAGAAAATAGAGTAAAAGTAGGCATGAACTTGAGTAGTGAAAATGAGGAATTGGAATCCATAAGAAACTTCAGATCCTTGTCTTTCCTCACTAACATTTTGACTATAGAGATTTTTGGGGTTTTATGTGAATGCCTGTTACAGATTTATAGGCTGTGTCAAAAGCTGAACAAGCTAATGATAGCCACAGGCTGTATTTGGATCCATAGCAGGATGTATGTCAGAGAAATCTGCATTTTATGAATGGGTGTTTCTTGATAAAGGAATGTGATTTTCTAGGTTTAGGCCTGAAGAAACCGAGGTGGTAGAAAAGTTGTCTTGGGGAGTCACTCTTGGAGGCCTTGAGATCTCCTGAACAATATCCACAGTTCATACTCAAGAGCCCAAACAGGTCCCTGCTTTTGCTCCACATGATACAGGGAGGAGAAGGAGCTTCTCAAAATCATTGTCATGTCTCTCACTTGCTTTGAGACACCTTTCTGCTCTAACCTTTAGATTCTGATGAAAGAGTTTGCTGAAGTCTGGTTTTCCTTTGCCTGCTGCAGGCAGGTTTTAGGAAAATATTTTTCCTTTTGAGCACAGAGAACAATAGAGAGACTAGAGCCAGATTTTAATTTTTAACTTATGTAACCCTACAGTGTAATCTTCTCAGTTTAAACTGGTGGCTCTCAAAAGCATCTCTATTTACACAGACTTCAGACTCCTGCAGTATATCTCAGCTGTGCTGTTGAGAATTAGACTCACAGGGGACCAACTGCAGATCACTTAATGCAAGGCATGGTAATGAGGAGAAAAATCCACAGTGGGGTTTCTGTTAGTACAATTTTTGTTTCCCAAGAGTAACACCAGCTTGCTCATGACCTGAAATTTATTGCTGCTTCTACAGGGAAAAAATGCAACTCAAAGCATTTTAGTACAAGTCTAAACAGCACTGATGACTGTGTGTCTTAGAAGAGGCACCCCAGATGAAGAGTTAAATGGCAGTGGCGTTGAAATGGAAATGTGCCAGTCTTCAGAGAGGTTGTTATCTGTGTGAGCAGTTTGCCTGGAACTGGTCCTTTGAGAACGTGTGATTAGCCAATACTTGAAAGGAGGCAGAAATTTTGTTTGCAAGCTGCAGCTTTTACAGAATACAGAATTCTGGAATTCTGCTATAAAAGAGAAAACGAAGAGATCTCTCTTCATGGGAAGCTTCTAAATAATTTCTAAAGACCCACTGATGATGCTTTTATTTGGGGGTCTGGGCAGAGTTTGGAACTCCCAAAAACTATGATAACATTGAATTGTTTTTTAAATGCTTCTAGTAAAGAGCACAGCACTTGTATCTTAATGCAGAGTTTCACCCAAACGGAGAATCACTTGTAACCACAGATGGGAAACTAGTGGTGGTGATGCTATGAGACAACCTGCTTGAACTGGTAACTAGTTGGTTTGCTTTGCAGAAGTTGTGGGACAGCAATGGTGTCACTCTGGGTCTTCTCAAGGTGACCTTTTAAGTTCAGCAGTGTAGTGAATTCGTAGGTTTTATGCTGTAACTTTGGGCACTGCTGCTCACAATCTCTGAATGTTTCGGAGAACATTTTTCTTTTGGGCCCCTTTAATTAATTGTGTCCTCATTTATATTCAGTTTCCAGTCTGAACCTTTCCTTTGTGGCTGTATTGGTGGTATGTGGCATTGGTTTTATTCCTATCAAATAAAGATATATACGTGCATGCCTTCTAGTAACTCCTCAGGAGACAGAGCAGTGTTATGCTGAGAAATTGATGGTCCTTGCCTGTGATAGGCTAAGAAGAAATAATTCACATAGTTTCCTTATCATGTTTAGTTTTTTTTTTTTTTTCTGAAATTCCCACATAGTTGTGGTTTTGTCCTATTTTGACACTGAGAACTTCAAATATAATTGATGTGAACTGTTGCTAAAATAAGATTATAATTTTTAGCCTGAGAAAATCCCACCAAGACATTACAATATGGCATGTCTAGAGAATGCCAAAGCTTACATGGTCTGACCAGAAATACTGCAAATAAAGTAGATTATGTTCCCATTTGTCAACATATGCATCCTGTCTGAAATAATGTTTCTAAAGATTTCGGATAGTAGACTATTAGAGAAGAATTCCTTTACTTTTCAAAGGTCTTGATTTTCTGCAAGATAAAACACAGTTCCTCCCTGAAATAATCTGTGTAATGGGTATAATGGTAACTGGAAAATACTTTGCTGAAACTTACATTTTAGTTTAGTACAATTGGTGCTTTCACATTAAAAAAAAATCAGAGCACTACAACTTGAGTGCTTGAGAGGTCCTGTCATACCACGAGTATGAAACACATTTGAAGGTGACTTGTCATCACAGCTGGTCACTGCTCAGCCTGGGGGCTTGAAAAATAAAATCACAAGTTACAACTTTTTCAGGTAAAGCTGAAATCCTAATTTTCAAGTTTCCCAAAGTCTGCATTTTCTGAAAAAGTCTTACACTGCACAAGAGTGGTGAGCAGGACCTTTGTACATATGTACTCTTAGTAGCTGTGTTCTATTTGGGGGCTTCACAACTAAGTGGCTACCTCATCTCCCTGCTGTGTGTCCACACTCATACAGTTGTGCTTCAGCAAATGCCAGAGATGTTCTCTATAAATGCATGCTGAGCACCTCAGCACCCACCAGCCAGTTTCCAGCCCATTTCTTGTGCAGCCAAGAGTCTCTGTGGTTTTTTGGGAGGGTTGCCATGGAGATGCAGGCCACAGCAGGGACTGGAAAAATAGAAGAATGTGCTTTGGAGCTGTAAAATGGTCTGTAAAGTACAGAATGGGTCAGGTTTGTTGTGTGGCTTATTCTTGACCTAGAGAATGTTGCATTATGCACACCTGAAGGATCTCATTATTAAAAATTCATCAATACATGGTTAAATTTTAGGGGCTAAAATTAAAGCTTTTGCCACTCTAGAAGCCTAAGAACTGCTGCTAAATAATATTGTAAAATCCAGTGGGAGTTTGGTCTTAGATGTCACCTTTACTGTAAAATAGTTTGTCTTTTGAAACTTCACAGGTACACAAATGAATAAATCAGATTATAATTGGCTAAAATGGGAGTTGTTAGTATTTATTAGAACACAGTCAATGTCTAGGAATAGAATTGGGCCTCTTCTTAAGAAGTCACTGGGCAAAAAATCGTGTTGAATGTATCTCTGTTGTCCCTTGTGGTTCCATCTGAGTTTTGATGGGGCAGGAGGAGGAAGGTGTTCAGAGAAGTTGAAAGGCCTTACATTTATGTACCACTGAAGATCTTCAGTTCTTATTTCTGAGGTGTAAATATGCAGGTCTCTGAGGTGCAAGGGGGTTGGGTAGCTCTACAGACTGCTTGTGGACCCTCTGGTTTGCTGCTGCCTGTTGGCACCCGGTACCTTCATTTTCAGACCAGGTTCTTGGAGGTGCCTGGGCAACAGGCCCCCTTCCACGGCTTCCCTTGCAGGGGGTAGTCAGCAGGACTCAGTACTCCATTGCAACCTGTGAAACAAGTGCTTGTCCAGCTACTAGTGCTCATTTCAGTAATATTTGTGTGTTTAAAACCTTCCTGTGAAACCATTCTTAGACTGTAGCTAGGTGGTTGTGTGCTGGTCGTGTACCTGATGTCCAGAAGTCCACCCATGCTGCAGGTTTGCTGCTGGTGGTGACTTGGGTCATGAGTTGTTGGTGTGATGGCAGGTTGGAGAATTGGGCATTTGGAGAGTCTAGATGCTGGAAGGAGGACCTTGTCAGACGAGGAGAGGAGATGGATTTTATATCTGTTAATTTAACTTTTCCTATGATGCTACAAAGAGTCTGTTACTTGTACTCGTGTGCATTTTTGTGCTTCTGCATCTTTTAAAATACTCAGTATTTCATTGTCTTTGGAGGCTGGTTTAGGGGTGTGTTTCTGGAGTACAAAATTTTTAAAAGACTCCTGCGACAAAAAATTCTTTGGCTATTTCCAGAGAGTTTGGGCACTTCCCTGGCTAGAACCAAACATGAAACTAGGGCAAATTGTGAACATCAGTGTAATGGAAATGTAGTTAGTTGTATGATTTGATAATCAAGGAGAGCTGTTTGCTTTAGCTTAAAAATTCAATGAGAGTCACAACATACTTTCGATCCATAAAGGAAGTGTCTAACATACCCATATCAAATGAAAACATCAGAACAATCTGCTTCATAATAGAGGACATAAACTGGAGATTTGTCAGTGGTAGGTGTCATCATAAAATTTGTCACAAAGTCCTGAAGAAACACTGGGATATCACTTGCTTTTGTGTGCTTCAATTCTTCATGTTTGAGGTGGGGTGAAATATTTCCCTGCCTGGTGTAATTTGTCTATTTTTAATCTGCAAGTTCTTTTAGGCAGAGAGTGTCTCTGGCTGTGCTTCACTCAGTCTGCAGAAGAATGAATGAAAATCTGAAGTATAAGTCCTTCTGACTCCCAGATGGAGTATTTGTAGTGATAAAAGATCAATGTTAGTGTATCTTTGCAAGATCCATCTGTCCTGCTGGCTTTTTAGAGTCATTTAGCAGGATATGCAAGGTAGAATTATTCTATAGTGCTTTTGAAGAGAAAGAAGGAAGCAGCTCTGGAGTAGCTTTAAAGAAGAAATGGATATATTTGTCCCCCAGAATTGACCCTGGAAGAACATGAGATCAGTTTGGTTACAGTCAATATTCAGACACCTACATCTCTCTAAATAAAAAAAATAATTCTCATGCTGACTGTGTCCATTTTATCTATATAGACATACAGACCTATGGAGGGAATTGTATTTACACTGATGTAGATGTACATTTTAACCATTTTCATTATCTGCTCAGTCAGTCTTGTAGGAGAGTGATTTGAAGTAAAATAAATCCTCTTTGGGTTTGTGTATCAGAGTTAGTGCACTAGAATATCTCTCTGTTTTACTGAACTTGTGTCTTCAGATTGCTGTTAGCCTCTTGCTCACATCTACTCTTCCTTTATCTTTCCATGTAATTAACGTCCTCAAAGAATAAATATCCCTGGGTTTGTTGGAGATGAGAAAAACGACCAGTTCCTGTGTGGAAAGAACTGCTCTACTCTTATTTTTACTTTTTAAGGCAACTGAGCTGCAGTTCCTGTATCTTACTTAAAACATATCAAATAGAAATTCGTTTGCTGCCTGTATCAGGAGAGTGGTGTGTCTGGATGTCTTTATTAGCTTTCTGTATCCAAATGGAGTGTTTCAAGAGCTGCAGCAATTGGCCCTGTGTGCAGGCTGGGAAGGGGAGCCAAGCCCATATAAGCCACCCTCGGGCAGGGAGCGGGACTGATGCGCGGTTCTCCTGCAGCTGGCAGCTTGCTGCTGGGAAGCAAAGACATTTTTATTTTTTTTTTTAAATCACTTTTTCTGCCTTTGAGAAATTTAAAATGCAGGTTTTCCAATGTTGTGTTAGGGAAACGGTACTATTGATGTTTCTAACAAGCGTTTTTAGCTGTGGGCTGAGGAGGGGCGGTGGAGAAGCAGCCGAGGAGGCTGCCAGGAGTCCCAGGAGCTGCAGCTGCAGCAGCCTGGAATGCAGTCACATCTCTGTTTGGCCGTGTCAATTTTTAACAGTGTTTTCCTGTCAAGAACGTGATTTTAAGCCTGGGTCTCGTGACTGGGTAAGCAGAGCACAGAATGAAATTTGTCTTTTTTGTTGTAGAAGCCCGACGTGCGGCTCTCCAGGAGCAGCATCGACCGAGAGGATGGAGGTCTCCAGGGCCCAGTAAGTATCTGGGGGAGCTTTTCATCTCCCAACTCTTTCTCCAGCTTCCTGGTAGAACATGTTGTACGCCGTCTCGACTATGGGAGGTGACTTAAAAGGTTTTGCTAAATGTTTCCACTGTTATGACATGGTTCTGCAGCTTTCCAAGAGGCTCAGCTTCTGTGGGAACAGAACAGCAGCCGCGGCAAAATTGTTCATGCAGCAGTTTGGGGGATTTGGGGTTTGGTATTTTTATTCCTCTCGAAGCTGCTGTTGAAACAAATACTAAAATGTTTCCACAAATATGTTGCAATAATTTTTAGATGTTCACGTGCTGTATAATTGGGTCTTTTATTTAAAAATGTGGGCAGTTTTCTGAAAGTTCTGTCAACAGGAAGCAGGATTAAAATAGCTTCTGCAGTTGTTTAAGTATCTGAAGGGTTTTCTTACAGGGAATGTAAATGTTACTCTTCTATTACCCAGAAATCTGTGTGGGGTAAATGATCTGCTATGAAACAAATGGAATAACCCCCATAGCCATTCCTTTATTGCCAGACAACAGCTGCAGCTCTGGTATTCTTTCTTACTGGCTTAACTCCTGTCTAGCTAAAAAAAAATCTCTCCAATTGTTTAATTGCCCTTGGAATCTCTGAATCATCCTATTGGAAAGGGGGGTTAGACTGGGGACTGCTAATGGGAGAAACCTGATGCTTCCTCTGCCTTCTGTCTCCTGGGATCACCTTTAAAGTGTTTGAAATTTACTTTCTTACTTCATTTGGGATTTGATTGTGAACTCCTGGTTTGGCTTCAGTATTGCTACATCACCTAAGAATTCAGGGACTCTTCCTGCATTTGCAGCCAAGTACAGTCATGAATGAGTGCATTAATGACACACTGCAGCCTGGTCTCTAGAGACATTTATGTCTGGAAGCTGCTACATTTTTTTCCATGAAATTGGAGAAGAGTATTAGTTACTGTTAGGTCTTTGCTATTGTGTCAGCTTTATATAAGAGCAAGTAAAGAACTACTGCATTTTGTGCTAGTCAGGAAGATGTTTTGAGATTTCCAGGAGACTTTGGAGTCAGGTCAGAGGTTTGGTTCAGGTGGCTGGCAGTGGCAGTGGGTTTCAAGTTGAGCTTCTCACAGCACACTGCTTGAGCATGGAATAAAAATTGCCTGGGCTTAGAATAAAAATTGCAGCACCCAGATCCCTGACTGCTTGTAGGGGCAGTGCTATCTTCCCAGATCAGATAGTACAATTTCACACCCTCTTTGAAAGTGTGAAGGGAACACTTGGTGATCTTTGACAAAAGGAGTTTTACAAGAGACTCTAATTTGTGGTAACTACACTTCTAGTTCCAGTATTTTATGTTGCATTTTTATAGTTCTTAATGCATTCAGAACCTAACTGTGACTGACTCCATTTGCTGTGGGAAATGTTTCATGCTTCTGTGAGTCAGTCTCAGTTCCTCATCGAGAGGATGAGAAACAGGCAGTGACCATTTCTAGGAAAACTACAACTAAATAATTGCCCAGCGTTACACAGGGATTTTTGTGACAATAGCAAGGACAGAATTGAGTTCACTGAGGTCATTCACAACTTCCCCATGAAGCCACAGTTTGTTTGATTAGTTGCTGTGGCACTTGAAGGAGAGCAGCTCTGAGTCCTGCTCAGAGGAGCAGTGTCTGGGCAGCAGGGGGCACTGGGAGGGAGGGGTGGTAATGGGAAGTGGTGAATCCATCCTGGTCTGGGGTGGGACTGCTGGAGGGGGGCCAGTGGAGGAGGCCTGTGAAGAGGATTAAGGACTGGAACATCTCTCTTATGAAGAAAGTCTGAGGGACCTGGAGCTGTTTAGCCTGGAGAAGAGAGGGCTGAGAGGGGATCTTAGCAACATTTATAAATGCCTGAAGGGTGTGGGTCAAGAGAGTGGGGCCAGACTCTTACCAGTGTTGCCCAGCAATAGGATGAGGGGCAACAGGAATGAACACAGGAAGTTCCACCTCAACATCAGGAAAAACTTCTTTACTATGACAGTGACAGAGCTCTGGAGCAGGCTGCCCAGGGAGGCTGTGGAGTCTCCTTCTCTGGAGACTTTGAAAACTCACCTGGACGTGTTCCTGTGCAACCTGCCTTGGGCAAACCTGCTTTGGCAGAGGGTCTGGACTAGGTGATCTCCAGAGGTCCCTTCTGACCACTACCATTCTGTGATTCTGTGATGTTACAAATGAAAAGTTACCACACACATTTTAGTAGTTTGTAAGTGATGGCCACATGGCTGTATAACGCTGTGCACCTTCTTTTGAGACATATGCTCTTAATGTGGAATTTCTGAAAATAAAAACACAAGAATTGTTTAGTGGAATTGTACTCTTTTTCCCTCTTTTCTTTTCCCCCAGGGTTATCAGATTTGAAATATGTAGTTTAACAACACAAGTTGAAGTTAATGACATGACTGATGGTGCTGGCAGGAAGCAGATGGGTTTTCTAACAGTAGAGAGCAGCTGTATGACAGTGTGAGAGATAATCAGCCCCTGGGTTTCAGAGGTTCATGGCAACAGCAGAAGTTACTCCTAGTTGCTGAAAGTGAAATTTGATTTTTCCAGGTCTGTAGTTGCAGGCTTGGCATAGGCAGGGTGAACATGCTCCTTCACTTTTTCCATCATGCTTCTGCTCTGAAGCATGGAGCTGATAGAATATTGTCTACGAAATTTAAAACAACCTCACGTTTCTCTCTGTGTGATACAGTTTTCTGCACCCTTACTTTCTGATGCTTGTGCTTCTTGCCACAGTTTTCATAGTAACCTGATAGAAGCTAGCTTGAGGTACAGTCAGTGGGAGAATTTTCAGTGCATGCAGGTAAAATTTGGCAGTTTTGAGCAGCTGAAGGCAGACCTCTAGAAGTGCTAGGCAGCCTTAGCCACAGGAGCCATTCTCAGACCTGCCTCTCTTTTAAACCACAGCATGAATTTCTAAAAATGCCAGGCTGAAACTTTAAGGCTGGAACCCCTCTCCTACGAGGACAGGCTGACAGGGTTGGGGTTGTTCAGCCTGGAGAAGAAGAGGCTCTGAGGAGTCCTTATTGTGGCCTTCCAGTATCTGTAGGGCCTACAGGAAAGCTGCATGGGACTTTCTACAAGGGCTTGTGGTGACAGGACGAGGGGCAATGGCTTTAAACTGGAAGAAGGGAGATTTAGATGGGATCTAAAGAGGAAGTTCTTCACTTTGAGGTGGTGAGACACTGGAACAGGTTGCCTGGGGAAGTTGTGGATGCTCCATTGCTGAATGTGTTCGAGGCCAGGCTGGATGGAGCTTTGAGCAACCTGGTCTAGGGGGAGGTGTCCCTGCCCATGGCAGGGGATTTAGAACTAGACAGTCTTTAAGGCCCCTTCCAATGCAAACCATTCTATGATTCTGTGAATAAATGCTGAAGTGCAATCGTGCACATCCCTCCAGTTTGTTAATGGAAAGGTGCATGAGTTGTCAAAGCATGAGATTCATGGCTCAGTTCAGGGGATCTCCTGCAGACTTTCTGTGTGCTGTTGGGCAGGTTGCTTGGTACACCCACCATTGTCTGGCACTGAGATGAGGTGATGGTGGTGTTAGAAGTTAAGGAATAGCAAGTGTACTGCTATTGTCCCTGTCACCTGGGTGTGTTTCTGAAAACAGAGAATGTGAGACCTCCAGAAACAGTTGCTTGAAAGGTCAGAAAAGAAAGTTAATGAATTTCAGTTGAAGATCTGTGATGGCGTTACCCAGAGCTGAAGGGGAATTGAAGCAAATGCTGAGGCTTTGTACCAGCAAAAGTGACTCTTGAGCAGGCTGAATGTCCTCTTCAGTGTTGAAAAAGCAGCTTCCTTAGGTCTGATGTAAAGAAGTATTCTGGCTTTGCAGAAAATGGTCTTTATTTTATAAATAAATGGCTCTTGAGATGTTTCTGTACTAGACCTGTTAAATTCTAACTGCTTTCAGTGTTGTAGAAACTCCTTTGAACAGATCTGCTTGCACAAAATGTGACTTTTGGGGTTGTAATGCTTGTTATGGCATGACAACTTGCAAGTTTTGTGTGAAGTATTAGTTTGGTTGTGACCAAACAGATTTTCATCTTCCATAGAAGCACAGACTGTCTCAAGTTGGATGGGACCCGCAAGGATCATCAAGTCCAACTCTGCTCTCCTCACAGGACTACCCAAAGCTGAACCATATGACTAGGAGCACTGTTCAGATGCTCCTTGAGCTCTGACAGGCTTGGTGCTGTGACCAGTTCCCTGGGGTGCCTGTTCCAGGGACTGACCATCCTCACAGTGAAGAACCTTTTCCTAATGTCCAATCCCAGCTTTCCCTGATGCAGCTTCACCCCATTTCCTCGAGTCTATAAAACCAGTTAAAAGCATTGGCCCTAAAATTGAGTCCTGAGGGGTCACCTGGCTGCCTGCTTGATGTGACCCCCTTCACCAAAACTCCCTGAGCCCCACCCCTCAGCCCATTGCTGACCCAGTGTGTTGTGGACTTGCCTAGCTGTCTGCTGGACCTTCTGTCCAGGAGGATGCTGTGGGAGACACTGCAACAGCTTTGTGAAAATCCAAACCCACCACATCTACTGGCGTCCCTTGGTCAACTAGATGGTATAATAATTTCCATAAAAGAGAATGAAGTTGTTAATCAGGACTGTCCCCTGGTGAACCTGTCCTGGCTGTGACCAGTGACTGTCTCTCGGGTGCTTTTCAGTAACTCCCAGGGTAACCTTCTCCATCATTTTACCAGGCACTGGTGTGAGACTGGCAGGCCAGTGATTATCAGAGACTTCCTTCTTAGCCTTCTTGAAATTGAGACAACATTTGCCAGTTTCCCTTTGACTGGGACCTCCCCAGACACCTAAGACCCTTGGAAAATAATGGAGAGAGGTTCTGCAGTTAACACCAGCCAGCTCTTTGAGTACCCTGTGATGGATCCCATCAGGCCCCACAGACTTAGTGCGTGGAGCTGGAGCAGCAAGGCTCCAAGAGTTGAGAGTTGGCAGAGAGTTTTATCATCCCCCCAGTCTCAAAAAGACATATTCTGTCTTCCAACAGAAGGCTCCAGGGGTGCCAGGGCCCATCGTAGGTGGTGAAGGCACATAGGGAGTCCTCCATATCACGTGTCCTTCTATGTGTGTCCTTCTGATCCTTCTACAGTTTGGTCTCTGAATACAGTCTAAAAATGATGGTGCCTATGCCATCATATTTGGTTAATAACAAAGGATAAACTGTAATATAGAGGCTGGGGCTGTTGTGAGTGATGTGAAGAGATGAAAATGAGTTTTCTTACTCTCTAAATAATGTACCTGCAGCTAGGATTGGTGATGATGGATAGGGATGTGTTTTTAGCTGTTGGGAAATGTGTACTCTGTGTTTGAGATTGTGCTGATGAAAGTTCTGAGCACTGTAATAACTAGTCTAAATGTATATTTTATTTTATTTTCTAGGCTGCTAACCAGCACATATATCAGCCTGTGGGTAAACCAGGTAAGCAGTAAATTCCTACACTGTTGTCTTCAATCCTTGATTACAGGTCTTCTAGCAGCAGTAGTGAACAAAAGTTGATGCCAGTCTTCCCATACAAGTTGGAAAGAAGACGGCACGTGGGTGTTTTGGTGCACTGTGTGTTTAAATTCCCCGTGCAGAGGTGAAATCAGCAAAGCCAAGAGAGCCTTTCACCAACAGGCAGGAAGTGTCTGGAGGAAGCTGAGTCACTGTGTAGGACTTCACCGTGTGAGGAGTTCAGGCATGTAAACCAAAAGTAGACACCTAAATTTAGGTTTCTCGATCCCAAAGTGAATCACACTCGGGATTCCTGCCATGAAGAAGTCTGACTGTCCCAGATGTAGGCAGCATGTGTGGCACTCAGCTCTGGTGTGAAGGGGTGAGTACCCCTCAGGTCTGGGGTAGTTGTATTGAGATGAGTAGAAGCTGCTCCACAAAGGGATTTTTGAAGTATGTTACTAAAACAACCATCTTCTCATAATTACAGGAACACAATGAATTCCACAACCTTTTCTGTCTGCATTTCTTCAGTAGAAATACAGATTAAAGTGTAGCTCCCACAGACCCTGGATTTACTGCAGGACACACAAAGATGTGTATCTCCACCACTAGTACAGTAAACCGTGTGTGGTGGAGTGATGACAGACCAGAACTGCACAGGCACATCTCCCATGTTGGTCCTCTAAAAATGTGAATTGTTTTGTTAACCAGATCATGCAGCTCCACCAAAGAAACCTCCCCGCCCTGGAGCCCCCAGCCATTTGGGCAGCCTTGCAAGCCTGAACAGCCCTGTGGACAGCTACAACGAAGGCGTGAAGGTACCTTGCTCAGTGTCTCATGAAACACCCTTCAGAAAAGCAAAAGTTGCCACTCTCAGATAGTTTGCTGTTCCTGAAGCAGAGACCATGGAAAGCAAAAGCCACTAAAGTTCCCACATAAATGTTGTCATGGGGCAGACATGCACTGGCAGGGCTCTAGAGAGGTGGGGAGTTAACTAGTAGGCTCATGTGCTCCAATACTGTGATTCATCGTGTTCCTCACCTAGAACCTTTCCCAGGTGAGCTTATTTCTAGTTTGAGGAGCATATGAGATCTCCCATGTGGACTCAGTCCTAAGCAGGAAGGAACACACCCAGGGTTCCCAGTTACTTGGGTAGTGCCAGAGTCTCCTGTTTTCAGTCAGAGGAAGTGACACATATCTGAACTGTAGTGCTCCAAAAAACTTTTGCTGCAGCACTGGGGCTCCTAAAACCCAACCAGCTCTGGGGAGCAAGGGAGCAGGGGACGTGGGCTGTCTGACCTGTGGTTGAGATACTCTCTAATGTGTTTCATCTCCAATGAATAGGCAACAAAGCCAAAAATGAATCCTTCACAGTTCTCCAGCAGAGAGCTGCTGCAGGGTGTTGGGAAGCACAGAGTCCTGTCCCCTGGGGCAGTGTCAGTGGAGCTGGTCCTTCCTGAGTCAGTCACTGTAAAATCGTGCCTCTGTCCCCTGCCTTTGGGACACAGAAACCTGAGTGACCTCAGGGCTTCCCGAGGGGATCCAGTGGAGCTTTCTCTGATGCTAGCAGATTCCAGCACCTAGATGGAATAGTGGCTGGGAGTTCTCTGCCAGTAACACTAACATAACTGCAGGTGACCTGTACATGTCACCCTTTTATTATTTCACAGCCTTTGCATCTGGAGAAAGGTGCCTCCACAAAGACTGTCTGACAGCAGCATTGCTGAGCAGAGCTTTTTAGACTGCACGTTGGGAAAAATCTCTTTCCTAAAAGAGTGATGAGGCATTGGAACAAGCTGCCCAGGCAGGTGGTGGAGTCACCATCCCTGAAGGGGTTCAAAAACTGTGTACATGTGGCACTTCAGGAGATGGTTTAGTGGTCATGGTAGTGTTGGGTTAGAGGTCTTTCCCAGCGCTAGTAAATCAATGATTAAAGCAGGATCACTCCCATTCTGTCAGTGGATGCCATCAGTAGCACCCCAGTGGATGCCATCAGTAGCACCCAGGGAGCTGGTGGCTTGTGCTCCAGCTCTTTCCCAAGAGGAGAACGATGGGATCTGCATCAGAGCAAAGGCTCCTGGGGGTACCCCGGGCAGTCCCTGCCCTGAGACAGCAGCTACCACGGCAGAGAACCTCTGGCCCCCTAAGTCCTGCCAACCCTCTTGTGAAGAACAGGAATCCACCTTGGGGTAGGCGCAGCTGTTGGGATACACAACACTTCTCTTAGGCAGTTCAGGAGAATCCAGAAACCAGGCAGTTCCTCTGCCCCTGGAGTGCTGAAGGTGCCACGGGAGCGACGCGCTCGGGTGGGTCCGGCCGCTGCCCCGCTCACTCCTCCCCATCCTTCGGAGGGGCTTGGACTTACAGCTTGGCATAAATGGAGAGCAGTGGCAGAGCTGAGCAGGATTATTTATTATAAACTGGTGCCAGTGCTTTTCAAGCTGCCAAGCCTGGGAAAATGTCAAAAAGCAGGAACAGATGCGTTCAGTGTTACTAAACTTGGCTTCTCTGAAGTTTTCTTTCTAAATGCCGATACTGGAACATGAAAAATGTTTCCTGAAATGTGTCCTTTTGACAGCAAACAAACCCGAGCAGCCAAAGCCGTCAGTAATAACAGGCGAACAAGAATCTTGTACTAAACAGCATCTTCAATGGAAAGGAAGGGCTGGTTCTGGTTCTTTTCAAGAGTTTCTTGAAATTGGGTTGGTTTATGCCCCGTCAAGCAACAGCCCGTTATTTTCTAATAGTGTATAGCTTTGTAAGCTGCACTAAACACTGAACTGGGGATAGTTCTGGGTTGTATCAGACTCCCTTCCCTACACACCCATTTCAGATTCCCATTTCAGATTCCCATTTCAGATTCCCATTTCAGATTCCCATTTCAGATTCCCATTTCAGTCTCCCTTCTCTGCAGAATACAGCCCAGGAGGGTTTGAGCTCCTTGCCCTGCAGGCACGCAGGGTTTGTGTTACCTGCTGAGGTGAAGTCAGCCAGTCCTCCCAACAGAGCTCCCAACTTCCTAGTCTGCAGAGCAGCCCTCGGGTATATAAACAAAGGAAAAAAGAGTGTTAAGAAACAGAGGTGTCTGTACTCCTGCAGTGTCAGGGCCTGGCTGCAGGAATTAGGTGGGTTGGGTGTAGAATGGGTCCTTGGTAGCTCCTCACCACTGCCGTTGGTCACTGCAAACAGGAGCTGCCCCGTGAGACACCGGCGTGTTCCCTGTCATCACCTTCTAAAGAAAAACGAAAAGTTTCAAACAGATTAATACGACATCTTCTTAAATGCATTGATGGTTTGCCTGAAGGGGCCAGGGTTGCCCAGGACGTGTTGTGTCCCACCTCTGCAGGCCCTGCTCCCCTCACCACCTGGCTGCTCCCGTCGAGCTTTGCATGAGCTGTCCCGCGGGCGATGGCACGACGCCCTGCCCAGGCTTTTAACTGGTCTCTCACTGCCACGCGTGGTTTGGGTTTGGTTTGGTTTTTTTGGTCTGTTTTTTTTTTCCTGCTGTTTTTTCCTGCTGAGTTTTATTAATATTGTTTTTCTTTTTTCCCTTCTTTTGGTAAATTTCTTTAACCTCCCCCCACATTCTGCTCAACCATAGCCATGGAGGGTAAGCAGTGCGTGAGCGTGTGTACGTGCCCTGTTCCAAAATGTCTTTGCATGCCACTCTGCCAGATGCCTGTTTAACCTCTCGATTGCTGACACCAATTAGAATCACAACCTCTGCTGGTGATTGAGGCAATGGCCATGTCCTTCCTCCTAACCTATTTTCTGATCAATACTCCAGATTGAAGCTCTGTAATAGCTGTCAGTGCTCACTTAGTGAAATGCCACAAAGTGGAATCGTCCTGCCCTCCTCCTGTAGACAAAGTTCCATCCAAGTGCTGCATGGTTTCATCAGGGTAGTATCTGGGGCGCTTCCAGTGGAACATCTCCGTAGCTAGGACCAGTAGTAACCCAGTGTGCTGGGCTGCAGTGCCATGGGCCATCTCAGCTCAACAGGGTGGATGGCCACTGTGTGACCAGTAGGAAATCAGCCATTTTTTAACCTTCTGCTCCCACTGAGAGGCTGCTTGGGGCAGCCCGTAGTGGTGAAGAGCTGTGGGGAACTGGGGTGCTGGTAGTTCTACATTCAGGAGCAGAGTCACTGAGGATCTTAAACAAGGGAGTTTTAAAAGTTTGTTTCTTTTCTGACCCTGGGTTATTTCAGTCTGTCTCGGATTTAACTCCAGACAGATCTGACTCAATGGAAGTTTTGCATGAGGAAGGACTACAGGATTTTTAACACACTGGGTTTTTTGCTGATCTGTTAGAAACAAACTGTATGAAAACACTTGGTGTTTCCCACCTGTACTGGTGACACCATTTCTGTTAATCTGCTCTGAATTTTCACTAACAAAATAATACATACTGCAGTATTCTCTCTTTACTGCATCAGTATGTTAACTGTGTACTCTGACATTGTTTGGAGCACAAAACAACTTTCTGGAACGAGGGACCTGGTACCTGTAGCCTGAGCAGAGGACCTTGTCCATCAGTAGTGACCCACATAGATGTGTCAAGTGGTGTACTCCTCGTTCCTCAAATTAACTTCTTCTCAGTTGTGTGTGTTGTATTAGGAGCTTTTCAGGGAGTTGCTGGTGAAAGTTCCCCAGTGACACTTCATAGGTGAGGTTCAGTGAGAATTTTAAAGAGACGTCCTGCAGGAAAGCCGGGCAGGGGGCGGAGCAGGACCGGGCGGGCTGTTCCGAATGGGACCTTCCCGGCCGTGTTGGGGGCTGGGAAGCTGCTGAGCCCCATCTGCTGGGGACAGGAGGTGAAACAGGCACTCTCTGCTTCCAGATCCAGCCGCAGGAGATCAGCCCTCCTCCCACAGCCAACCTGGACCGGTCCAACGACAAAGTCTACGAGAACGTGACGGGGCTGGTGAAGGCGGTCATAGAGATGTCCAGTAAGATCCAGCCAGCTCCACCCGAGGAGTACGTGCCCATGGTGAAGGTAGGAGGCACTTCCCAGCGTGGGGCTTAGCTCTCTGCTCAGTGGGGGTTGTAATTAATCCTTTGTCACCTTGTTTTCACAGTGAGACACAGATTCACACAGGAACACAGTGGGATTTTTAAAGTCTCTCGGCCGTGTTTAGCTCCCATCTTACCTGGATGAGGAATTAAGTTGCTTCCTGCACTGCTTTAGTTCTCTTGTCCATTCATTCCAAGCTTTTAAAGTTTATTTCCTTAAATTTTTTTTTGCAGGAGGTTGGTTTGGCACTAAGAACCTTACTGGCAACAGTAGATGAGAGCCTCCCCGTGCTTCCTGCAAGCACCCACAGAGAGGTGTGTAAAGCTCCCCTCACCTGATGCTCACTCAGGATAGTTCAGGTTGGCCTCAGCTGGGACAGCGATCTGGACACGTCCTTTGCATATAGACACGTTTTGGTTTGATAAGAAATCTAAACTCTTGGATTATAATCCAATATGAAATAAATTTTATTGGAGTTGCTGTGTAGACACAAGCTCATGTTGACTTCAGTGAAGATGTTCAAAGGGGATATAACTGAAGAACACACAACGTGCACCCATAGGAAGTTGACATAAATTATGTCAACAAACCAGTACTGTAATGCAGAGAGAGCATCTGGGAGTTAAATCTTGGTGCAAGTGTGGCTTGTTAAACTGCAGTTTGCACACAGAGTCATGAAACAGGTAATGGAGCAGAGCTGGGTGCAGCTGGGAGGTTTTGGTGAGAAGATACCCTGTAGTAAACTAGTTCTGAAGGAGGCTGAGATCTTCCAGGGAAGTTCATGAGTCGGGAGTAAAACTATATTCCTCCAAAATCTTGAATATTCAAGTGTGATAATGAGAGAGCCAGAGAATGGTTCTTTAAGTGCCTTCTTAGAGAATCATCCTGACTTAGCTGCCTGGTTCTAAGTAACCCAGATCTGGCTGCTTGACCCATTTTATATTTTAGAGCTACTTATACCCTTTAGAGACACTTCAATAATAGTAATAAAAAGAGTGATGGTGATACTGGTGACCTGGAAAAACCAATAACCAGGTGTCAACTCTAAAGCCTGAGTTAAAATCCACTATTGGCAATTTGGATCTTGGTGCCTTTTAACGGTGGGAGGCTCAGGAGCTGACAAGGCTGCTCTTGACCTCCACACGGGTGCCAAAATTCCATCTTCTCATGTGGTGCCTGTGGAAACAGCACCAGCTTTGGGCAGAAACCTCGAGCAGGGGCTGTTGTGGGAGGGTAGCTCATGCTGTTGCTGTGGGGCATCGCTGCTGTGAGCACAGTGCTTCTACCAGCTTGCACAGCTGACTGACTCTCCTTCTTCCAGATTGAGATGGCACAGAAGCTGCTGAACTCGGACCTGGCCGAGCTCATTAACAAGATGAAGCTGGCACAGCAGTACGTCATGACCAGCCTGCAGCAGGAGTACAAAAAGCAGATGCTGACAGCTGCTCACGCTCTGGCTGTGGATGCCAAAAACTTGCTGGATGTTATTGACCAAGCCAGACTGAAAATGATCAGTCAGTCCCGGCCGCACTAAGCGCTGAGGGCAGAGCTCCACCAGCCTCACAAGTCTGCTCGCGAGAGGATGTTCCTTCACCTTCCACCAGCAGGAGGACGACCCGAGTGCAGGCCTGGCTCCCCAGC